GATAGGATTCTATTAATTTTTGGGTCAATTTTTTTATTAAGATAACTACAAATATTTGGCAAAAAAATCTCACCATATCTTGCTAAAATCAATGAAAATAATCTTCAAAAAAATTCAAAATGCACAGTGGGCGGGCTTGTTCAATTTTTTGCCAAAAATCTTGCTGTAAACTTTAGGCGGGAATTGAAATCTTTTTTTTGCTATTTTTTAGTTGATTTTTTCAAACAACTATCATTCCCTCTTTATATATTAATAGATATTAAAACATATAAAATAACAATATAAAGGAAAAACATATTAAATTTGATAAATAATATTAAAATACACTTAAGTTGTAACACTTACTAAAAAATATGAAAAAAAAAGTAATAAATAAAATGGTATGGTTAATAAAAATAAATATTAAACTTCTAAAACTTGTACTTATTGATGTAAACGAGCTGAGTTGTTAAACGCTTGTTAATTTTTTGTTCTTATTAATTCTAGGTGTAAGTTTTAGGTGATAGACAATAGTTGTATATACTTTTATTGGTCATTATCTTCAAAATTAATTCAAAATATCTAGAGAACTATAATATGTTTATATACGCTGAAAATAAATAAATTTTTATCAAGAAATTATATTCATATAGTACCATTACTCACGTATCTTTTTTTGAAACAGAACAATAAAAAGGACTTATATTAATAACAAAACAAGACTAGATAACAACTATTCAGCCGAATATACAGCCAACGACCGAATAAACTAAACAACTTTTTATTAAAAAAATGTACATATTTTTTTTAATATTTGAGTATAATATTAATGATAAAATTATAATTATATTTATAATATATTATATAGATGTACAACTATAATGGATATAATAAGACCCAAAAAAAGTTATATACTTAATTTTATGTATTTTTTAACAAATCTAAAGTTTATATATATATATAACATATGAAAGAACAATATAAAGTAATAAAATATTAAATCTGATACATAATATTAAAAATTTAACTAAGTTTTAATACTTACTAATAAATATGAGAAAATGTAATAACGAAAAAAATAATGTTGTTCCAATAGATATCAAATTAAATTACAATAGAATTTTTATGGATTAATAAGTGTACCATCAAAATAACATAATGTCATTACAATTTATAAATTATAGTTTTTATTATTTGTCATCTTTCTCATATGTAATACTTTTTTTTACACATTAATAAAATAACAATATGTTCAATAATATTAAAAAGAAAAGAATATTTTTTTCTCAATTCGACATATGAAAATAATAAAAAAAGATTATATTTTTTTAAAAAAATTATGAACGAATATTTTATGTTATAGTATAGTTGACTCGACAATATAATTGATCAATGTATAAATTACGAATATATAACTAAAATTCTACATATAGTTAAAAAAGACATAAAAATATTTTTTAAAGTTAGATAAAATTATGTCGCAAAAGAGAGAATATAAGCTATCATCAAGATTAAAAAGAAAATAGAGAATAGAGCGTAAAATTGTAAATTTCGATAACTATTATGTTTCGTTTAGTTGTAATATTGCATTTATATTATATCTTTGATATAGTTATGAGTTGAACTAAATTATAATTGATTGAGTTTTAAATTAATTTATTATTTATCTTTTTTCGTTTAATTTTATTTTTAAATAAAGGGCATGATTAAAATTATGAAAAATATTCCCATAATTTTTGTTAGATATCTTATACTATATGTTTTGGGATGAGGCCTGTGTCGGGACTATTAGACAAACATGGATTTGCCCATAATTCTAACAAACTATTTTTGTTAAAATATTCATTGAAAAATTCAAACGAGAATTGTAACATTGAAATATTCGTTAGAGTTGTTGAAATTCCGTTGTAACATGCTTTCATTAGAATTTCATCATTTTCTTGCAGTAAAAGTATGACTCCAAATAAAAAAAAAAAAGCACTATATATAATATTGTGTGCAGTTAATTATTTTATTAGTATTATAACAACTAAACAAGAAGTAAGAATGATGTTCTATGTAATAAAAAGGTAAGACTAATAGTAAACAAGAAGTAAGAATATTGTTCTACATGATGAAAAGGTAAAACTACACAATGAGAAAGATTATAGCTCACATTCCATCCAAAAGAAATAATAGAAAATAAAATTAGTAAATGTCCCATATTAATTGAAGCTAGCGAATGATAAATCTAAAACATACTTGAGATGCACATTTGTAAGAACTATATTTATCTTTTTGTGTTAGAAATATGTATGTTAGTCATCATCTTTTTAGTTAACAATTTAATTAATTTTTACTATTAAAATTTTAAATTTTGAAATACTTAATATTTTTTTTGTTTCACTTTTATATTTAATATATCACATCATTTTTTTCTCATGATGTTTGATTTGACCAATGTATTGTAAATAAAATATATATATATATATATACATAGAGCAATTTAAAATAATATATACCAATTTATAGATCCATGTTAACTCAATTTTATTAATTATAAAATAATATTGGATAAACTTGTGGTATATTTTTCTTACATAGATTTGAAATATTCAAATAATAAGAAAAAAGTGTAATTGGATGTAAACGTACATCTATTACCAATATTAACTATATGAATTAAAAGAAAAAATAAATGAGTTGTATGTTAAACTATTATGCAATTATTGCTTGAAAGAGAACACCATAATAGTTTTAAAAATATATTTTTCGTGGATATGAAAATAAATTAGTTACTTAGGAGTTTATCATCAATGGAAAAAAAATCCAAAAACTTTTTAATCTTATAAACAATATAAAAGTACATTTTTATCAAATATATTATTACTATCAAACACGTTGCTTCTAATTCTACAAATAAGTTAAACATCTACCCTCTCTTTATGAACTTATGTTTGAATATAACACCTTCAAATATCCTTTTTCTACATATTTTTACATAGCTTGTACTTCTTATTTATTTTATTAGCTCTTAGATTGATTATGCTTTCCACCTATTCAAAATTGAAATAAATAAGAATAAAAAAAAAACTTACGATTTCAAGCTATATGTTACGAAATTAAAATTTAAATTCGGTACACGTGCAATGCACGTGCACCTTACTAGTTTTAGTAAGTTTCTTCATACATCGACTCGTAGAAACCCTCTTGCAGGCACCCTATGTTCCTGGGAAAATGTATGTATTTTTTCAAATGGTAAGGAATGTTTTTGTTTGCAAGGTCTACTGAACAAATCCATTCAGACTGTTTTCACAAAGTTTGAGTGAAGCTTTAAAACTATTTACACAAAAACCTCTGATTCTTGCCCAACATGTGTAAAATTAAAAATCCATGATTAGTAAATTGGTATGCTCTGTATCTGGAGATTTAACCGCTGAGACCATTTTTAACCTCTGATTCTCACTCAGGTTAATAATATGTATCCATGCATAAATGACAAATTTTTACACTCAAGATTAGGTGGAAAAAAAGCACCAATCCAGGACAAGTATTCAAGTTTTCCAATACGTTTCAAAAGTTAGTTGACTCGAACAAAGAGCAAGAAAAGGTTCACTCTATTATATCTCCACATATAAAAATTTCTAAGTTCTAACATAATAATAATCGATTCAATAAGAAGTAATTTATAACATAATAACAATAATTTCTATAAGATAATAAATTCTAGTTTGTAACCTAGCAATTTCTAAGTTCTTACATAATAATAAATTTTAATTTATAAAATAATCAAGTCTAGTTTGTAACATAATAATTTATAAGTTCTAACATAATAATAATAAAAAATTCTAATTTATAACATAATAATATCTAAATTTTCTAACATAATTTCTATAATTAATAAAAAATTTATAAGTATTACCCAACAACAATAGCATGACTAATGGTCCAATGTATATGCATACATGAGATTAGTGGTTGATGGTAAGTCAAGGTCGTCTTTATATATATAATATATTGGCATGACCAATGGTCCAATATCCATACATGAGATTAGTGGTTGACCGTAAGTCAAGGTCGTCTTTATATATATATATATATATATTATTTATTTTTTAAGTCAAGGTCGTCTTATAGCTCAATATTTTATTTTATTTTATTTTATTTTATTTTATTTTATTTTATTTTATTTTTCTCATTTCATTATCAGATGAAGAGATAAGTCGGTGTTAGCCCATTTTCACACAATTTGATAGTTTGCAGGGGATTAACACCTTAACTAATAATACATGCAATGCAAGTGCTGAAGTGCATGCATATATCACTCAAATTAATATGTATAAATATTATTTATACACCTGACACAAATAATAATAAAAAAATGAATATAATTCGAATAATATTTCTTGAATTGGAAATAACTGAACCACAAGATGGGCAAGAATAATTTATTTAAAGTATTGTAGATTTGGTATTGAAATGCATCTCCCAGATTGTGAATAAATAAATCAAACAGAGTTTCAAGGGTTTGAAACGTGTAATAAAGTGAAAAATAATAAAATCTAAAGCAACAGTATAGCATCTTTCCCCTCCAAATTTCTGATAACTGTGTGCAAGTGTGGAGAAAACAATAGGACCAATGCCTACACAAGATAAGTGGTTGAAAGTAAGTCAAGGTCGTCTTATAGCTCCAACATTTCATTTTAATTTTCTTCCATTATCAGATGAAGTAGACAACTAACAATTTGATAGGCGATGATTTCTATTTGCCTTCAGTTTGCAGCTACATATATCATTTAAAGTAAATATAGTGTATAAATATAACTTCAACACTGGATGCAAATAATATCACATGTAGAGAAGCCCCTGAATATTTATTTTCTTTCAAGTGGAAATAACTGAACCATAAGAAGTTGACCTCATTCATTGTATATTTATGTAGATTGTATATATGTGCAATCTATCAAACCATATCAAACCACCATCAGTACAAATTCAAAGGAACGAAGATGAATGAATCAAAACTCTGTATCCTTGCATCTATGTTTTTAGTCCTCCTTTTCTTGTCCTTGAGACCACTCTATTCAATCTCTTGCCCTGAAATTGAAAAACAATCACTTTTAAGCTTCAAACAATCTCTAAATGATTCCTCAAACGTGCTGTCGTCCTGGGATGCTAAATTCGACTGTTGCAAGTGGGAAGGTGTTGTCTGCAATAACTTAACTGGCCATGTTCTTCAACTTGATCTAGAAGGTAATTATTTTGGTGGCAAAATAAACTCATCTTTGCTCAACTTGAAGCATTTGAAATATCTTGACCTGAGCGATAACAACTTTCATGAAAATATCCCTTCTTTCATTGGATCACTCACTAGCCTCGAGTACTTGCGTTTAGATTATGCTGGATTTTATGGAATGATTCCCCACAATATTGGGAATCTTTCAAATTTGTACACTCTAAGTTTGAGTGATTCAGACCGATTGTTGGATGCTGATAGTCTTGAATGGTTGTCGGGACTTCCTAAACTAGAGAACCTCTACATGAATGGTGTGAACCTCAGCAAAGCAACCAACTGGGCTCAACAGGTTATCACCAAAATTCCTTCTTTAGTCGATCTGGAAATGAAAAATTGCAGTCTTAATTCGATGGCTCCTCTGAATGATGTTAATAATACCAGCCGTTGTAATTTAGCCACTCTTGTTTTCAATTACAATTCCCTGTCTTATGCTATCATCCCTCCCTGGATTTTTCAACTCAGCAACCTTATCTATCTTCATATGAGTAACAACTCATTCCAAGGCCCAATTCCAACTAGGAGCAACACCACAAAACTCCAATACATTGATCTCTCCTATAACAAATTGAATTCAAGCATTCCACAGTGGCTGGGCTCCTGCAAACACCTCCTCTACCTCTATTTGGATAATAATAAATTGACGGGGAATTTACCAGAGAGTATTGGGAGACTTGCTAACTTGACTCATCTTTCCATAAAGGATAACATGTTGGAAGGGGTTGTGACTGAAACCCACTTTGCCAATCTCTCAAATTTAGAATCCTTGCATGCCTCTGGAAACCACTTGAGTTTGAAAGTCAACCCCAATTGGATTCCACCATTCAAAGTAGACACACTTAGTCTAAGGTCTTGGGACTTGGGATCTCCAATTCCGTTATGGCTTGAGACTCAGAAAGAGAGTATCTTCGAACTTGATTTATCGTGTACTGGAATCTATGGAAATGTTCCCAGCTGGTTATGGAGTTTGAGATATTTGAGTTATCTCAACCTTTCGCATAACCAACTCGACGGAAATATTTTATCCATTTCTGATAGTGGACATGATTATAATATTGTTGACTTGAGTTCCAACAAGTTTAGTGGTCCACTGCCTCAACTATCTAGGAGCAGTCCATTATTCTTGCATCTCAATCTCTCCAATAACTCATTGTCGGGAGATCTTTCAGAATTTCTATGCAACAGATCAATCAATAATCAACTGGAAATTCTTAATCTTAGGGAAAACCACCTGTCTGGAGAGATACCCGAATGTTTTATCAAATGGCAAGGATTGCAAGTGTTGGACTTAGGCAACAACAAATTGTCCGGAAGAATACCAAATTCCATAGGATTTCTTAAACAGTTAGCGTCTTTGAATCTCCACGGCAACAATTTCTATGGCCACATACCTTCTTCATTGCAAAACTGCACGGAACTAGTGAAGATCGACTTCACTGATAACAATCTTGATGGGGACATACCGAAATGGATTGCCACAAGATTTTTCAATTTGAGATATCTCATTTTACGGTCAAACAATTTCAACAGTGAAATTACTCCATCCATATGCCAGCTAAGCTCTCTTCAAATTTTGGATCTCTCAGATAACAAGCTTTCAGGGAGAATACCACAATGCCTTAACAATCTCACCGCAATGACCACTAAAAGGGTTTTGTACAACTCCTTTTATGATATACCTATTAGAGATTTTCCAGAAAGTGCATCGATTTCATCAAAGGGAAGAGAACTCACCTACGATATTACTCTTTCTTTGGTTACCAGTATTGACCTTTCAAACAACATCCTTTCTGGTGACATCCCAAGAGAGTTAACAAGTCTGGTGGAACTCAGATCATTAAACTTATCGCGAAATCATTTGACAGGATCGATCCCGGAGAACATTGGAAACATGAAGCAACTCGAATCTCTTGATTTCTCCATGAACTCGTTATCGGGCAACATTCCAGGTAGCATCACAACCATGTCTTTTTTGAATAGCCTGAATTTGTCATATAACCACTTGACTGGAAGAATCCCACAAAGCACACAGATTGGGAGCTTCAACGAGTCGAGCTTCATTGGCAACAATCTTTGTGACCCACCACTGAAAATCTCATGCAGAAATGACGATAAAGCCCTTCATCCAATGCGTGCAGAGAATGTAGGCCGAGAAGGTAATAAGCGAGAGATTGATTGGTTCTACGTATTCCTATCTGTAGGATATGCTGTTGGGATTTCAGTTGTCCTCACTACATTGTTTTTCAATAACAAATGGAGGGAAGCGTATTATGCATTCCTTCAACAAGTGTGGGACAGTGTGTATGTGTATTTTGTTATCAAATGGACAAGGCTCACGAGAGTGTTGGGTCGAAATTCATGAAGGCCCTGTCAAGAATTAATAATGCATTGACCTTACCTCCGGAGCACTTTACGCTTTGATTTCTTTATTGTATTCTGACGCTTGATTTGTTACCTATGTTTGGTGTTGCTTATTCTATGATTCTGTAAGATTATTCTGGCCTAGATCATTTTCTAATACTAGTAAAGTGCACGCGCGATGCACGTGGTGGCGAATGTTTTTTTCTAATTAAGTTTAGTAAAATAAAGTAATTAATTTATTAAAAATATCGTTGCAAGAATGAAATAAAACGTAGAACAAATGAGCTCATGATGTAATCGTTTTTTGCCGATTAAGTTTTGTAAAATAAATAAATTAATTTATTAAATATATCCTTGCAAGAATGAAACAAAATGTAGAACAAATTAATGAAACAAAATATAGAAACAAATTATTTTTTAAAAAATAACTTAACGATGTCCTAATATAAAAATAATTAAACAACATATTACAACCCCAACAAAAACACTAAATAACTAATAATGACTAATATATATTCGATATTTTATTTGTTTATGTTAAATGATTCTTTTATTTGTTTATGTTAGATGATTCGATAGCGTTCTCTTTCAATAGTATTGCAAAATTCATCTTAGTTCTTTTAAATAAGATGCATTAGTTCTTTTATTTGTTTATGTTAGATGATTCGATAGCTAAGATGCATTAGTTTTTTTATTTGTTTATGTTAGATGATTCGATAGCTAAGATAGCTAAAATAAATTAAATAATAACTAAATAACTAAGATGCATTAGTTCTTTTATTTGTTTATGTTAGATGATTCGATAACGTTCTCTTTCATTTTGGTTTTGACGTCCTCATAAGAAGCATTATTGATTCAATAGTATTGCAAAATTCATCTTAATTCATTTGGCAAAACGTCTACTTTATTCAAACACTTAAGAAATATTCTAACCAAACATATAGTGAAACTTCATGGTTGTATTATCTTTATATTTCTACTAACCATGCATGAATATATCTGCAAAATAATAAATCGTGTCATTAAAATTGTTGATTATTTTTTATCATTGTATAAACTATTAAATTACTCTCTCTATATATATATCGACAAATTATTGATACCTACCCCATGGATGTATCTCCCTACGGAAGGGAATGAATTTCATCTCTAAATAACAGTTGACTATTCAAAATATCTATTACATGTACTTTTCCCGAGGTTGTTTTTTTTTAAATCATCACACATTAACTAAAAGTTCATACTATAAAATAATTGCACATATGTTAAAGCACAATACACCAATGAAATTATAAATATTCCTATAAGAAGTGTCAACTTCATTCCAACATTCAAAAATGTTTTGATTAGGCTCCAACGTTTCATTTTCAATGTCATTTATTTGGAAGATAGACAAACTATATAATCTATTGTTTGCAAATCATTGACCATCTAGTTCTTGCAATGATTTTAGAATTATTTATCTTCATATCTTTCACATTCATTTGGATTTGTAATATTTATGTGTCCAATAACTTTTTAATGCTTTTATCGTCCAACTTTATGCATCATACATAATACTAAAAAAAAACTCGAGATAAAGTTCCTTTCTTGATTCTTCACCACTGACAAAATCAAACAAAACAAAACAATGAGACAACATTGAGAAGCATATCATTTGTTAAAATATTTGAGATGAGAAGAATTAAAATTCTATATGACTCTTAGTCATCTTTGAACGTTATTATTACGAAATCATTATTAAAATCTACATTATGTATTATAAAGTTTTAAATTTTTTATTATTTAAAATTAAAAATTGATTATATAGAATCATTATTTATGAGATCCAATTTCTTACAGAGTCCATATATTTAAACGCTAGCAACAAATAAAGTATTATTTTTAAAAGATTTTTTGTTTCTAAATATTGATATTCATACTTGTCTAAGAAAATTCCGACGTTTTCTTTTTTACAATTCCATTGCTATTATTTTATTAGTTTTATTTCTATTGATAAATAATACTTTATTTATTAAACGAATTCTAGCACATTTATATGTATTGCATCATTTTTTGTATGTGTTTCATATAATGACGTTGTTATCAAAATATCTTATTTATTAGACAACAACTAATATAATCACATAAGATAAAATAAAATTTAATATTACTTATTTATATATTTATAATAATAATATATTTAATAAAAAAATATACTCTTATACTGATTATTAGATTAAAAGGTTTAGAATTTTTTCTCAATGTTTGAGAAAAATATTAAGCAACTAACTCATTTTCATACTCATTGAATTTATGTGTTAGTTGAATAAAATTTCACATACAACTCGTTTATTTCTCCTTTTAATTCACATAGTTAATATTGGTGATAGTTGTATATTTACATCCATTTTTTGTTTTTTCTTAGTATGAATTTTCGGATCTATGTAAGAAAATTATGCCACAAGGAATCTAATTCTAGCAAAAATATTTTATTGGAATCATGAGCAGATCTATGTTTATTTTATAGATCCCACACAACCCTCTATCCTAAAGCATATAGCGTAAGGAATCTAATAAAAATTTGTGGGAACATTTTTTCATAATTTTTATCATGTCCCCTATTTTAAAAATGAAATTGAAAGAAAGAAAGATACATAATGAATTAATTCACAACTCAACCAATTATAATTTAATTCAACTCATAACTTTATTAATGTTATAACATAAACGCGGCATCACAACTAAAGAAAATATAATATATCTCAAAATTACAATTTTATCCTCTAATTATAATATTTCAATCTTGATGACAGTTTCAAATCTCTCTTTTGCAACATATTTTTTTTCTATATCTTCAAAATATATTTTTTATGTCTTTTATAACTAATGCATGGGGAATTCTAGTTATATATTCGTAATTTATAAATTAATCAATTATATTGCCGAGTCAGCTATACTACAACATAGATTTTTTGTTTATTAATTTTTTTTAAAAAAATATTATTTTCAATGATTTTCTTATGTTGAATTGAGAAAAATCGTCATTTTTTTTATTAAATACTTTTTAACTTATTGTGACTGTACTGATGTGTTAGAATGTATTACAAGTTAGAAACATGACAAATTATGTAAAGTATAATTTATAAATTGTAATGGCATTATGTTATTTTGATGGTATACTTTTTCTATTAACTATATAGTGTCCAATATAAAATTATTTTGGATCCGCCACTGCAATTAGTTTTCCAATGGAACTTCTATTAATTTTTTTACAATTTCAATTACAGTTTTTTCAACGGTTGAAATACGATCCGTAAAAAAATTCAACAGAGATTCAAACAATAATAAATTATAGTAATTGGAATGATTTAATTCACAAAATTTTCAATGTAATTTAATTTGTTCTCTGTTGGAATAGCTAATGAAATTTTCCAATAAAAGCTTTACCAATGAAATATCCGTTGGAATTTTCTTTGGAATATCTTACAGATGCATTTTCCATTGCAATATACCAATTTTTTTTTGTATTTCTTCTTAAACATTATATTTTAGGTAGTAGTTATTGAGTAACTGTGTTTACAATTTTTCTAATAACATACATTAAACACATGAGCTTTTTAATCCATATAATTTTTTTAAAGTAACTCATTATCTTATCTCAAGATTACCTAATAAATTCCCAATTGAGTTTCATTTATTACATATTAAATTTTAAATAATTATTATTTATATATTTAATATGATATATATATATATATATATATTATAAGTAAAAAGCTAGTAGCAAATAAATAGTAATTTAAAATTAGAATAATCAAGTGTTTTTTTTTCCTAACCTACATGGATAAAGGTAAAAATAACTATTGTATATCACCTAAAAGTTACATATAGAATATATAAGTACAAAAATTAACAAGCATTTAACAACCCTGCTCGTTTACATTGATAAATATAAGTTTTAAAAGGTTTATGTTTACCTTTATTAATTATAACATATTTATTTATTATTTTTTAATATTTATTAGTACGTATTACAACTTAGTAATTTTTAATATCATTTGTCAAATTTAATATTTTTTTTATTTTATATTGTTCTTTCATATGTTTTTAAATTTTGTATTTGCTTAAAAATTCATAATATTATGTATAGAACTTTTTCGGTCATATGTGTTAATATGTCAATTATTTGTATATCTTAATATTATATTATATACAATTACAATTTTCTCTTTAATATTATAATCAATTATTCATAATTTATAAATTAATTAACAATATTGTCGAGTCAACTATACTACCACATAGATTTTTTGTTCATAAGATTTTTAAAGAATATATTATTTTGGTCATATGTGTTAATATATAATCTATTTATATATCTTAATATTATATTATATACAATTACAATTTTCTCATTAATATTATAATCAATTAGTCATAATTTATAAATTCATCAACAAAATTGTCGAGTCATCTATACTACAACATAAATTTTTTGTTCATCAGATTTTAAAAGATATTTTTTTTTCAATGATTTGCTTACTTTTAGTTGAGAAAATTATATATTTTTTTAATACTTTTAACTTATTGTAACTGTAAAGATTTGTAAACATGTATTACAGATGAGAAAGATGACAAATTTTGAAAAGTAAAATTTAAATATTGTAATGACATTATGTTATTTTGATGGTATATTTTTTCTATTAGCTAAATAGTGCCCCCAATATGAAATTTTCTGTATCTATCACTGCAATTAGCTTTCCAATGCAACTTTCATTGATATGTTCCCAAATAGAAAATTCACACAAGAAATAAATAATGGTAACTCGAATCATTAAATCCATTAAAATTCCATTATAATATAATTTGATCTATGTTGGAATAGCCAATGATATTTTCAAATAAAAGCTATGCAAATGAAATATCCTTTAGAATTTTTAGTGTAACATCTTATCGTTGGATTTTTCATTGCAACATAACGTTTTATATTTTGCATTCCTTTTTTAATATTAAAATTTT